ATTAAATCTGTGTCACAAATTTGCAAGAAAAATGGACACTATGACTAATGCATTTACTTGCTGCACTAGTGCTGTCAGGCTGTGTAAATCATTATGCCTGCTAAAGCAGAGTAGATAAGAATTCCATACATTTTCATTAACCAACTAGGCTTTGTATGTATGTGAAAAGCTAACTTTCACATTTTCTGCTAGCTTTAACTTTCATTTTTAAGACAATGTAAATAAAACACTAGCCTTAATTTGATAAGCCAAGAGGCTGCTCCAAAAAATTTGAGTGTGTGAACAGTATGAGCCAGCTCTGTCCCCTTAGAAAGACAGTCAGACAAAACAAAGCCAAACATAATTAATTGGGACAACGGAGATTAATGAAATTATGGAGACCTGGAACAGGTTCCTTCCTTCAGACTGACATGTAGCCTGGACACATGCCTTACTCCATCCCATAGGTTTCAATAGAGGAGGCTAAGCTAATCCAAGACAGCATCATAAGAGGTCTCATCCAACACCTGCATTTTCAGCTGCCTTTTCCTCTGTTTTTTTTCAGGAGTTTAGTGGTAACCAGAGCAGAGACCTTTGAATCCTCTCTTTTCCTCTTGTTTCCTGTTACCACAGACCTTCAGATTTTGGTTGCAGTTGTTTAAGGGGAAGCTAATGGCTGTTCCTGTCATACTTACTATTTGTCACAGTTTGACTCAGGATCAGCAATTAACCCAAAAGCACCAAAGAACCAGAAAACATTCACACACATCATAAGCTGGACACTCTCATGAGTTTCCAAGCCCACTTTCTCGAGCAGAAAGGAAACTGATGAGAGGTAGAAAGAGATCAGACAAGGCTGTTTCTAGTCTAGAAGTGCAGAGCGTTTTGTTAGGATATCCTCTTCTAGACTTTAGGCCCGCTTCTTCTTCCATGCACATGATGTTACATTGTTATTGCAAACTGAGTCACTGCAACAAAGCACATGCCTCTGCTTCAGTGCAAGAACAGCCTCAATGACACATTATGCCTTGGTGAACTTGAAGTCAAAGAGCTGAGCCACTCAGGCAAACACCACAGAACAACCATCAGCACAGCATGTTTTGCAGAATCCCGCCTACTGCTCTGTGCTTTGTACATCAACAAGCATTATTTTTCTTCTGCAGCACAACCTTCAGAAGTAGAAGAGAAATGCTCAGGAAGCAAGGTAATGCATACAACGGTAAGAATCTCACCAGATCCATACTTAATACCCCAAACAGTTTCTTTAGCCTTTAGGTGCAAAAGTATCCTCTCCTACAAGTGGAAGCAGCTACCTCAGTGCTTTATATCTCAGCAGACCATACCATGCATTTGCACAATTCACAGTAGCACCTTGCTGATAACCAACCACCCAGTATTAGTAAAATGCTATCAGATTTTATTAAAACCCATTAAGAAAAAAAAAAAACCAAACAACTTAAATCACTTTTGTTCCACAATTACTGTAAACCAAACTGTTTAAACAAGGGGAGGAGATAATGATATTAACTACCTAACTCAAAGCAATCCTCTGTGGTATGATTCTAAATATTCTCTTGGCTGAAATTTATGTAAATTGAATTCATCTATCGTTAGCTATTACTAATTCAGCTACATAAAAATACTTTTCTGTAACAATTAATTCTTTGAAACACTGTATTTTAATTAGACTTGGGACATTATTAAACTAAGTATAAATATGTACAGTATCATTCAATGAATTATTTTGCCTCCATATTATAGGAATATGGGCTTTGGTGGAGTTTAAAAGGAATTGCTTTGCAGTTGGTTGGTAGTTTTTGTAAATCTCCTTACCAGTGAAAAATCTCCAAATCTATGTGTATTTCTGCTCATCAAGCCATATTTGGCATTTCTACCTTTTGCATATCACAGTGGGTTCCTTATTACATGAATAAACTCACCTCAGTATCATTCTAGCATTATGCTGAGTCTTTTCCTGCAGACATTCTGTTCCACAACTCATTTTAATTTAACTTCTCAAGGATCATTTCCTAGTCTTAAAAAAAAAAAAAAAAAAAAAAAAAAAAAAAAAGGGTGAGTGTGTGTGTGAAAAGCACCACACATCTTTCAGCCCTTTTAAATCAGCTTGATTCACACCATCTCATACACAGGCACTGGCCCACGGGGCATAGTCTGAGAACAGACAACATACTGTCCTCTTGGCTTTGTCACAGCGACACACAAGTGCAGCAACTCGCCCATGTGCTACAACATTGTAAGAAAAGGAACATAAGAAAACTTGCAGTCTTGCCAATAGTCAGATCTTTGCAAATTATCTCCGGGATATGTGTACGATTATGGTCGCAAAGGTACGTAACTGCAAAAAAAAAAAAAAAAAAAAAAAAAAAAAAAAAAAAGGGTGAGTGTGTGTGTGAAAAGCACCACACATCTTTCAGCCCTTTTAAATCAGCTTGATTCACACCATCTCATACACAGGCACTGGCCCACGGGGCATAGTCTGAGAACAGACAACATACTGTCCTCTTGGCTTTGTCACAGCGACACACAAGTGCAGCAACTCGCCCATGTGCTACAACATTGTAAGAAAAGGAACATAAGAAAACTTGCAGTCTTGCCAATAGTCAGATCTTTGCAAATTATCTCCGGGATATGTGTACGATTATGGTCGCAAAGGTACGTAACTGCATCTAAGCCTATCCACAGACAGCACAGCATCAGACACTAATAAGAAAAATGCAAATGTGATTTAGATTCATCATGAATTAAAGATACAGGAAATAAATCTCCACCTATAATCAAGCTGTAAGGTAGGCATCAATATAAGCTAATGGATTTCCAAAAACACCATCAGAAACTTCCATTATCTTCTCATAAACAGGCCAATTATTTTCATATTGTATTGAACAGTTTTGACTTCAAACAATAAGCCACTCAGTTAAAGGCCACCCTGTAGACCTACAGCACTATAAAACTCATAAAATACTCTGGCTACTTATTACAGTCCCTGGCCTACTATCACCTCATTGCATTTTCTGTAATAAGATTCATCCTATTAACTGAGTAACTGGCAAAGTTTGTAATAGCAAAGGTTTCAGTAAACATATCTGTGACTTATTTTCTATCATACATAGATATCCCCCACATAAACATGATTTCAAACTGGGATACCACAATAAGTGTCTAAGTGTTTGTATATATTTGTTACTTAATAGTGGCCACTTACTTTCCCGTTTTGTAATTTTTTAAAAATCAGTAATTAGAAAAAATCAGCTAGTATTGTGGTTTGATTCTTGCTGATCTTGAATATTTTTGCAAATTCTTTCCTGAGGCTTTTTTAAAGACAATTGTTTACTGCAACACTGCTCCAGGATTCTTAAAAATTAAATAAATAAATGTTAATAAAAAGTGAAATGAGGTGATTATATCTAAGAGGAACTTTCTAATGATCAGCTCATGAAACTAAGATCAAAACCAGAATCAAGAGCATTACACGAACAAGCAAACTAGCACAGCTTCTCTAACTGAGATTTCTTCAAAGAGCTACAAACAGGTTCTACAAATTAAAACACGTTTATGTCGCTTTACTAGGAATCAGCATTGTAGTCAGGTGCTCTGGGGCCCAAATTCTTTTTTGAAGTCAAAAGACATTCTCCTAATGACAGCTGAAACTGAGGCCTTTGGGTATTCAAAGAAACCTCCTGAACTGAAAGCCAGGGACAACAGAGAATCTGGAGCTAGTGCCAAGCAACAAGAGAAAATGCCATGCACATAAACAAACTTCAAAGTTGCTCTAGCACTGCAATTCCACAGTTTGAGGCAGAAAGCACCTTCCTCCCATTGAAGGAGAGCATGATAGATGACAAAAAGGAACAAGTATTGGAGAATTGATATTTTTTAAATGTGAATGGTCACCTGTACCCACAAAATGTACATTTGCCCCCCTAACTTTAACCTAATCCCTCAAAAAACCAACAACACAACGCATAAATTCAAAATGTGCTGTCAAGAGAGGAATTTGCATGACAGCTTTACATACTTAAAACTCCCAAACTCCAGGTTTTCATAAAACAAATAAGAATAAAGCGAGTTACTTTGTACTTGCAGTTTTGATGTTAATTTCCTAATTCTTTTATTTTTCACTAATTTTATACATCACCATCCCCTTTATGGGATCACCAGACTGGAATTGTAATATGTATGCTTCTAAACATGCACAAAATTTAGTAAAGAAGAACAAATTAAATTGTTAGCTACCTAAATAATCAGTTCCGGTAGCTTGCCTACATATAAAGTAATTTGTATTTAATATTCATTAATGTCTCTCTAAACAACATATCAATAAATCTATTCTTCCTTTCTTCATAAATATATTTATTTAGTGTGCTTTACAGTGTCCTTTCTGAATCTTTGTACACCACCAGATAATTTCTAAACCACAAATACTGTTCTATCTTTTTAGAGAAACAGATTTCTAGTTGGATTGATTGCTTTCCCGTATCTAGCTATTTTAGTGTGTTCCTCAGAGACACTGAGTGGCTTCACTGTCAGTGAAATATGCTAAACAAATGACATGTCACTGAGTAAATTAGCATCTACTCTCTGATCAGCTGGGTCATGTTTTCTTTTCAAAATCCATGGCCTCTTGATAGAAAATAATGAGTATTTGATGGGCCTTATTAGAAAAATCAATATATTGATGCCCATGTCTGAAGCATCTGCATAATAATAGATTCTGTGAAGCCATTAAGGAGAAAATTAAGATGTGTAAACACATTATTACTTTATTACAAGCAGAGACAATTTATTCACTACTTTTCTCAAGAGTTTAGCAAAAATTAAAGAAATTGTAAGATCTGTATTTAATGGCATGGTGACATAAATTGAAAGATGATTCCAATTTTTTGCCAAATGGCAAAAATGGCACAATTCCACCAACATTAATGTGAAAAATATAAACACACCAATGATACTGTTAAAAATAAGACTATTAAAGCACTTGCTATAAATGCTGCATTACTTACCAAAAAACTTCCAAAAGCAGAATTAAATATAGCAGCTGCCTGAAGAGAGAAATAGATAAATATCACCAATGGTAAAATAGCTATAGTACAAGAATAAAATGTTATTCCCCCACCCCACAAGCTATTAGATTCTCCAAATACACACATACACAGAGACCATTAGGCAGTTTGCCACTGCTTTAAAAATTGCCAGTGGCCTGTAACTTATGAAGACTAATAGGTTCTAGCTTATGCTTTCATAAATAATGTGCTGAAATGGACAAAAGAAGGAGCAAAAAATACTTGCCAGTAGATTTAAAAAGACTATACACAAGAACTAGGAATATGACACAGAAGCTTGGACTTACTACTTTTGCTTTAATTTGCCAGAAACATTTGTACATATTGACTTATGTAAAGTTCAATCTGTTTTAACTATAACACTGCATTTTCAGATACTTTAATATTCCATTTTCAATAGTTAAATCAGGCAAGCAAATTAACTTAAGTGTTCATCATAATAAAGTAATAACAAATTCAGAAGTTTCTCTAGTTTGACCAACAAATTTAAAATAGGAACAACAAAAACAAACTAACAAAAAACCCACAACAAAAACCCCAAAAAAACAAACCACAAAACCTCCCAAAAATCCAAAATGTTTAATCATTACTTTTTACTCCACAGTCTTCCAAAATAAGAAAATAAACAATTTTGATAATGACTTAAGAAGCATTTGTGCTTACCTAAACATCCAGGAAATACAAAGTAGCAGTATTATTTCTTAAAATTAACTCATTAAATTCCAGGAAGTTAAAACTTGAATCTTGAATAGCTTTCCTGAATTACCAAGAAAGAACAGAAACTCTTGTATGGCAGCCAGTTAGATGATGAAAAGCCACACAGCAAAGATAAGAGGAAAGGGAGTAGGGAAATCTACCATTTACATGAAGATTTAAAGCAGAGTCAAATTAATCACCCTGGACACTTCCAGCCACAGATTAATAACAAGTGGATGCTAGTGAGTTCAGCAAGTTTGAATAAAGTCCAAAATCAGGGTAAGAGCTGTAGCTGAACCTGCCTTCTGCTCCGTAAGAGGATGCAATGAAAATGAATGGGTAATGAGATCCGTGGCTCTAGAGAGCTTAGCTTTCTTATTCGAGTTCATAATTAATTCAAAGCTTTGATAATTTCATTAGATTCCTCCTCTGCTGGCCCTATTAATAAAAGATGGCACTGGACCACAGCTCCTCAGTCACCCAAATACAAAAACAAATGCAGACTGTGAAACCTTTGCTGACTTGCTTACTAACAGGGACAATGGCATATGGCACTCCATGTTGTGGCGGGAGCATCTGAACAGATACAGCTAAATAAAACATTATACTTGTCAGTTGTAAACTACAGTAACATATTTTAACACCTCTTCCTCATCAGCATGCTTTTTTTTGAACATAAAAAAAGAGGCACATGTCCAAACAGCTCCTCTTGCCAGAGATCACAGCTGAAAGCAAGAGTACTACTTAAAACAATTATTCAACAAGTGTGAATTAAATCAGGATTTTCTCCTAGTATGTGAAGCTGTGCAGCTGATACTTTCATGTGGCAAGAGAAAAACACATTACACCCATGCACACAAACCAACTGCACAGGACGAGTTTTGATGCAGGAGATGTCCTTGTAGGTAGCTTTTGCTTATGTATCCCTCTTAAGGTCCTATTAGCATATATTATAAAACCCATCAGGTTTTTGGTATTTGTTGGACATGTGTCATTCATTCCTTTACAGAAGCTGATTGTATTTGATCACTTCAATCTGATAAAGATGCAGAAAGGTCCCTTTTATTACATCCAGTCTCTGCATTCATGAAGCAGGACCTAGACCATTTTCAAACACACTCAAAAACCTCTTACTTGCAAAACAGTCTTTGCTACATAAACCAGTGTAAATCAACTGTTAAGATCTGCAAGACAGAAGCATCTGGGCTCCACTTCTGTACCAGAAGGCTGGGAGGAAACTTAATGGTCCCCTCCTCCCCATGCAGATTTTGTGTGCAGTCACAGCTACATTTCTGTCTGCTATAAAGAACCCTATCATTCACTCTCTTCAGGAAAGCTGGTGAAACCCACACAAAATTGTCAGGGAGCATAAAAAGGTCCTACCAGAAGCTGGGCTCAGCCCAGACCCTGCTTACAGTGCAAGTGAGCCTGCCAGACCGTGTCTAGTGATGCAAGAGAAATAACTTTTGTGCTTGACAGCCCTCAACCATCTTCCTGGTCATTTCAACAATGTACAAACAACAAAGCAGTAGCTGGCAAGAATGGATACACTTAGAAGAACACCGTCTATCTAGTTTCAGCCACATCAGTGGCTACGAATCCCAATTTGAGGATCATCTAGAGACATGAAATTTTATTACTTAAAATAAAATGCAATTCCACTTCCAGGAGAAATTCTCTATCTGAAAAGGCTGTAAAGAGATGCTAGATGGTTCCGGTGGTATATATTTTGGCCACCAATAAACTATGTTCCTTCCTTCCTTCCTGAAGCACTAGGAAGACTTCTGGGTTTTTTTTTGTATTCTCAAGTATATAATAGGTACTAAGACAAGAATCTTAGACAAAGTCCATGTTTTAGGTACTCAGCTAGCCACATGGAAAAAGCATAATTCACAATAGTTCACAGCACACTAATTTGCAATTTTTAATTTCCTTTCTCCGTGTCAGAAATTGTCCATGGCAGATGATTAAACACTCATTGTAGGCCAAAGAAGAAAAAAAAACAACAAACCACAACAACAACCAAACAGGAAGACCACAAATTAAGCTGTAATCAGATTATTTGCCTCAGTGAGGGAGGACTTACATGTCAATCAATCTATATGCAGCTTTCTTTACAAACATTTCTCCTGCGAAATAAATTTAGAAGTAATTTTTTCACATACCCACAAAGCAGGGCGTTATATTTGTGATTCTGGTTCAACTTAAACAAACTAGTAGGAAACTGAACCAACTGCTCTGATAAATGTAACTAGTAGCATGACCCTGTAGAATTTAAGCACTTTGTGCTTCCAACTCCCTTACAACAGGAGGGATAATATTGCCTACATACCTCACAGGGCATTGTCAAAATTAATTCATTGCTTAAAAAGCACTCTGAGATCCTAAGAGGTATGATACAAATAAACATTAGTGCTGACACATGATACAGCTAGACTTTTAATTTCCTATTTCAAACATTTATTAGTCACTATTATTGTATAACTTTTTTTAGTGTTCGCTCCTTTTGTGCTTCAACAGATATCAGACTATCTGCAGTCAGCTTAAACGAAACAACAAAACATGGAAACATTTAGATGTCATTACAAAACTCCAAGTTCAGATTTGCCGGTGCTTGCAAACCATTCATTGCACTTACCATTAACATGAGGGGAAATTTCTCTATAAAATCAATGGCAAGATCCTTTCAAAAGGTAAATGCGTAGCCACGTGTTGAAATGCAGGGTCAGACCACATTCAAAAGCAGCAGTAGTAACAACCAGACAAATTACTCAAGTTTACATCAACTCAGAGACAACAAAGACTGAAAGTCACTGCCACTACTCTTAATAGAGCTAGTACAGAAGAGAACATACATCTTCACTAGAGTTTGAAATAGTACACACTAGCTCCACTGAACAACAAATTCACTTAATATTAAACAGGTACCATTTCAGTCACCTCAGTATGGCACTGGGCCAGAGGGAACTCTCTCTCTGGTCTGCATTTCCAGGGAGGATTGGCTGGCTTGGAGCCCATTCAAGTGAGAAGCAACCAGCCCACCTCTGAAGGAACCCTATCTGGCAGTACTTGTCAGAAACTTTCCTCTTCCCATAGCTGAGCCTAGTGCAAAGCTTCAGCCCGTCATCTCCCACCTTATCCTGGAATATATAAGGAATAGGTACAGAAGACACTGCTAGGATTTGTAACAGTGACAGACAGCAGTAAGATCCAAGACAGTCCTCATAGCAACAAAGGCTAGTAAAAGACAAAAGAAAAAGGCAAAGCCACAACCAAGGAAGGAGCTGAGCACTTCCCCATGGGTAGGTACCCAAATGCAGCAGCAAGTGCACACAGCATCCAAGTACATGTGACTGGGCAGCAAATGAAGCAAGCATGCTAAGGTTTTGATAGTATTAAATATAGAATACATTCTGAACTCTTCTATTTCCTCCTCTTTTGGTATAAAAATAAACTGTCTTGGCATTTATTAGACTAGATATCTTTTGATGATAATGTAGCAGGGCTACATTAAAGGAAAAGATACATTGGCAACATCTGGAACACCTGGGTCAAACCCCAATATTTTACCTTTATCAGCAGATTTTGAATGAAATTGTTACGCACAACCATGAACTGGAACCACAATTTCCTTTACTGCAGAGTCACAGGGAAACAAAAGGGCCTCATAGCTTTATACATGGATCGTACAAAAAAGTAAAAGGCTTTTTAATTAATATGCAAATATATTTTTTAACATTAAAATGTTTTATTTTTGAGTGTTATTTGGGCAGCCTTTAGGAAGGTAACCTTCCTAACTGAAATCAATCCTACTCTTACACAGACCTGTGTGCCCTAGGCACCCTACAGCTGATGCAGGCAGCACATGCTATGCATGCTAGTACCTGTCTGGCCCTGAGATGTCCCAACTCTGTGGAAAGGACATTCCAGACCCAAGGCCACAGATGCAGAGCAATGAAACTAAACAGCCTCAAAATATCACAGAGGAAAGCAGTTTAGGAATCACACAAAGCTGATCTCCGTTTGCCTGAAATTACCTGCAAATCAACCTTATAATTTTCAGACATGCACCAGTGGGATATATACCCCAAGTACCAGCTGCTAGATGAAATATCCTATTCAACACACATGGCACAATGAAGAAGTGAAAAAAAAACCACAAAAAAGTAGAAAAGATTGGGAGATAGACAAGGACTCTAGCAGAATTACTGCAAAAAAAACCCCAATTTAATAGATCCATGCCTCCTATTTGACAGGGAAAAGCAACAACAAAAAAAAAACAA